CCTGCCCTGGAGAATTCACAGGCTCGTGGAAGAAACAGACTGGAAACAAGAGAACTACGATGGTGGCAAACCCTGATTGCTAGATCCTAAAAGGGCTCTTCAAGCTCAAGGAAGAGAGTAAGGGGAGGAAAAAATAGATCGTTTCCATAAATCATATCAAAGTTTTAGCTAATCATATTCTGATTCTTTCTTGTCAACTATTTTTTTTTCTCCCTTGAGGTTCTGAGATAAAAATAAAAAATGTATTTTTTTACAGAGATGTTAAATATTAAATTTAGTCTGGTTGCTTTTTTCACTGTTCCATTCACATCATATAAAAGTGGTGAATAATTTATAGACAATATTGAAATTAATATTTTAAGCACATGCTTTTAATTTTGATGCATCTTTCTCACCTTTCAATCTAAGAATCAGGTATTTATAATCTCAATTATCTTGCTATGTGGTGCCTAGCAGTGAAAATTACTAATGTTCACAACCATCTCTCAAGGTTTTTAGACTTAGTGTTAAAATTAGCATAGATAAGAGGTGAAAAATTGTCTCTTTTAATGTCTGTATTTACTTTTCAAATAGCTCACGTGTGCACACACATTTCACTCTGCTGATTTTACCTTATTACATTTCATTTGAGCCTGCTGAGATTAATTTTGGTTTTCTCAGACTACTGTGATGACTGCACTTCCTCCCAATCTTTTGTGCTTAACAACCAGATCTGCATGAGGAAGAAAAACTGCATCTGGGTGTCATCTGCCAAAAAGTCGAACCAGTGATTGGTCTTTGGATTTGTCTCTCCTTTATGGACTCAACCTCAGTGTGAGTGCTCCGTTCAATTTGAGATTATAAAAGCCTGAAAGTTATCACAAGGTGAATTTCAATAAGTTGAATTTATGACGGGTGTGAAGGATAATTTGCTGACAACTTTAAATAGTAAGCACGTGTTTCAATGGTAAACATATCCAAATTGCTTTGTTTTTCTCATAAGAGATTCAGCATCTTAAAACAAAGATTTGCTATCAAACCAGCTCTCCGGCAAACATCTGCTCCCTGTCTCAAAAGCCCGAGACAGGTGAAATATAACTTTGGCTGTATAAGGTAAGTTTTAAGGCTTTGACAATGGAGAGGAACTTATTCATTACATTTGTGTCAGGAACAGAATTAACATTCTCCTTTAAAAAGCAAAAACGTCAGACCCGTTTCCAATATATTTGTCTCGTCTGGGATACATGCTGTTTGCCCTATATAAATCTGAAACTCTGTCAGTGTAAATAACATGCTAATAAAATACTAGTTGTTCCCAATTTTAATGCTGCTTAAATATTTGTATGTTTAATGTTTTGGGATATTCACTAGGTATTTATACATAAAAATAGGACCATGTATTATCAAAGGTAGAAATGTATAGAGAGTCTTTCTTCTGGAGGGTTTCCTGATCTATACATTTTTACTTATTAGTATTTGTAGAAATGTAGGATGTTAATAGAATATGCTATGCAAGAAATAACCCATAAATTAACAAACATAAAAATGTATACAAAGTCACTAATGACCTCTTAAATGCTTTGAGATACTATTGGCTTAAAAATTTTTAAAGCGGTGCTCACTTCGGCAGCACATATACTAAAACTGGATCGATACAGAAAACATTAGTGTAGCCCCTGCACAAGGATGATGCTCAAATTTGTGAAGTGTTCCATATTAAAAAAAACAAATTTAAATCATGAAAATACTAGCTGCGGAAAGGGTGTATAGCAAATTGAAACACATAGGAATTCCTCGTGAGAGTATAAATTGTTATGACCCCCTTTGGAAAGTCACTTGACTTGAAGGTACATGTACACCTGTAACTTTGCAAATTGACTTCTAAATCATACACTTTAGAGCAACCTTGTTGAACAGGAATATAATGCAAGCCTTATATGTAAATATAGATTTCCTGATAGGCACATTAAAAAATGCATGATACAAAATATAATACATTTTGTCTAGCTCATATCTAAAATATCATCTCAACATGGGATCATTATAAAATTCTTAATGATATATATTGTGATCTTTTTAAATTTCTACTGTCTTTAAAATCATGGGTTTATTTTATGCTGAGAACACATCCCAAATTGGAACAACTACATTCAAGTGCTCAGTAGCCCCTGTGGCCCTGGTTTCCTGTACTAGACATGCAGCTTTAGAAACCTCATTCATGTGTGTCTCAGAAATCATGCACAAGAACGCTCAGAGTGGCATTGCTTTTAATAATCTGTATGAGTCAAGGCCGAATCAGTAAAACAGGGCCAATACTAGCAGTCCTGTAGAGAAAATTTGGAATCAAAAGCTACCCACAAAGGTATTAGAAGTGCTAACACCCCCCCGCCCCGCCCAAACCATAATCAGTGAGGCCATCCAGAGATAAGCGCCTGCAACACTTGCTCAGGTAGTCAGATAAAAGGCGAGAGTGACGTCCTTTATGATGTAATCCAAACTGCTTACAATCACCTCGAAAAATTTTAATGATCTTGCTGCTGTATGCGTCTCCATTTTCAACTTCAAAAAATTCCCTACTCTCCTCCTGTGTGCCAGTCATGTCAATCTACATGCAGTTCCCGGAATATAGTCTTGTGTTTTTATTTCCCATCTTCATGCCACTGCAGGTGCAGTACAAGTTACTTGAAATGTTCTGAACAACTCTCTCCCTGATCAGTCTGCTCTTTCTGACCTCAGACAGATGTAAACTTCTTCAGTAAGAAAACTGTCTTCTCTTCAGCTCTCACTTGCCACTCCGGGTTAGCCACAATTCTGTACAACCATAGAAACCCTAAGCATACTCAGTCTTAAACACGTCTTATGTCTTTTGTAATATTGGTCTTAAATTTCAGCTTTCCCTACTGTATAATAGTATATTAGAGGGTAAGTGTATTTATAATGTCCTTATTGCCGCATAGTAGGTATTGGAATGAACTTAATAAATAAAATACTTAAGTAAAAAACTTATAACACAAAAGTACTTTGGAATTAAAATAACTTAGTTTAAACATGTTCTCCAAAAGTATATTAGTTCTAACTATTGAGTCTGTCCATACTGTTGGACCATGATTAGCCTAGGCAAAGTGTAATGAAAACTATATTTAAATAATGAATTCCACTCACTCTTAATTTAGAAAATATTAATTGTTCATTTTATATATTTTTAACTTAACAATTTAGTATGTTTAGTGTACTACAGTAATGTAGAAAATAAGGAATATAAAGTAATTTTTATGCAGCAGAGAAATAATAAAGCATATTAAAATTGGAGCTTTGACAATTATTCCAGAAAAAAGGAAAAGCTAAGATAAATCCCAATTTCTTAAATAGTAACAGGCTATATTTCTTTGGGAAATTTTTCTTCTATTTTGTGCTTATTATGTTATATGAAAAATAGGCTAGGAACTATTTATCCCTCTTATTCAATTCAGGGGAAAAAATACTTTTACAAACCTAACTCTTCATGGTAGTGTGACTAATGTGAAACTTGGGAATCGAATCTGAAAATTGATCATATTTCTCTTCCTGAATTCAATCTAAAAGAGATGCCAAATATTAATAAAATGGCAGGTAGAACAAAAGAACATGTGGGCAAGTGTAGTGCATCTATTTTGGTATCATAATGCATCTGAGAGTCTTTGACAATATTTTCTTTGCTCCTATAATTTAAACAAGAAGAAAGTATATGCCAATTCTTATCAAAAATAATGTAATATACTGAAGACATCAATAAAGCTAATAAGTATATTTGCTTTGGCTGGGTTTATTGATGTTTGAAATTTTCTCGGCATTCAGACCAGCATTGTTTTTCTGGTAGCTATCTATTTGTGAGCACTTGGAAAGCAGAGCCCTTTAGAAACCAAAGCCTTTGTGGTGTGTGTGTGTGTGTGTG